TAAAATGTATAATTTTATTTGCTCATATATTGAAAAATGGATATCCATTTTTCTCATATTGAGGCATAAAAAGTTAACAATTATTATAGAATTGTTAAAGAAAGCAGAACATTTAAATTCTACTTCAGAAATGTTTTTAAAAATGAGTACATAGGCACATAGGAAATTACAAATCTGTATTAAACTCGATTTTTGTGCTAATTCTGTAAGCTCTATGAAGAATGTGTCAGAAAAGTTGTAATTATTTTTTCCAGAAATTTTGAAACCATTGCATAAATGACAAAACAAGTAAGATATTCTCCACACATGTTAAAGTCAGAAAAATGAAAAATAGCACACTATTTCCTTTATTTTCTGACAAATTTACATGTTTTAAAAAACAGGCAGTTTATGTACTATATATCAGTGAAACCATCTTAATGAAGCTATTTAAAAGTGTCAAATAATAACTTTTGTGTTCTTCAAAAATCTGGTCAGAAATCAAACAGAACAGGTAACATAGACAAACATATGAGAAATTTAGGAAAATATAAAAGACTATTGAGCAAGTCAACATTCAAAACAAAACAGTGAGTTTAATGAAATGTATTCTGGGATTTGTACCACCTGCCTGTGCTGCCACAGTGCTATAAACTCAACCTTCAACAACTATGCTGATTAACTGAAAACACCACAAAGGCACATTTGCAACATTTATTCTGAACTATGGGACAAACATTGTCTACAGATAGGGATTTGTGCCTTGTCCTGCCTCCTCTTTCTCCTGAAGCCAAAGTGTATTAGTGACTTTCAGCCATCATCATTTGCCGCACAGTTGTCAGCCTTTTTCCTTACTGCAAAAACAAATGCAATGAAGAAAGTACAAAGTGGTCAGGAGTATCTGTAATAATGGTCATTGGGTTTCAAAGTGGCAAGCATGGCAGAGAAATCAAAGCTCCTCCCCTTTTAATGTGTGGCACAGCATAGCACGCTTGCAAAAAGGAACAAGCTTTCAATTACTCTGCTGTATTTGTCATTTTGCAGCCAGGGACTTCGCAGAGATATCCCTGACTGACTGGAGCATTTTTTTTTTTTCATTTCTCGCCTGGTTATCTTTACATTACCCCCTTCTCTGCTCTTCAGCAACTTTTGTATTCAATTTTATCCCCGCACAAACCAATGTACTAAATGTACACTTTCTGACATTGCTATAACAGTTATGATAATAACGCAATAGAGGCCATGAGTCACTTTTAACTGCTTTGGCTATGCCATTACTCTGCAGTTGCTGCCAACTTTTCTCCAAAGCCACTTTAGCTGGGCAGCAGGAAAGGTCAAGAATTTGCCTGTGTTATGCCTGCCTCACACATTGCAAAGCACTGACGAGACATTCCAGGGACTGCTTATCTACACATGTGAAAAAGCAAAAAACTTTTGCCTTTGCTAAAAGGGATATTGGCAGTGTTTCAAGCAAGAAGGGGCTCTGGGTTGGAGGCAGAGGCTGTCTACCAGATGTTTTAATGGAAAGTGAGGCAGGTAAGCTAGAGAGGACAAGAAAAAATAGTGAATAAAACTCTTAAATAAGCAAAAATAAGAAAGCGGAGCAAATAAGAAAGAGAGAGAGATGAGAGACCAATGAAGAGGCAAAGAGAACAAAGCAAACAGCAGAATGAGAAAGCTTATAAGACAAAGGCCTCCAAGAAGCAAGAAACACCAAGTGAGAAAGTCAGCATGAAAAACAGACAAGCACAAGAACATTGTAGCAAGAGAAGCTGAGATTAGCAGGACTTTAGTGGTGGCTGTGGTGTCTGATCCACAGAATGAGTGTGGGCTTCCAGCAAAGCAGGAAAACTGTAACCCCACAAATCAGGTTCTGACAGATAACCAAATTAATAGGTTGCTAAATATCAATGCTCACTTCTTATCCCAGCCCTATCCCATAGTATAGACAGTGAGAAGTAGATGTTTTTCCTATTTGCAGGAGATTCACCAATGGTTTTCTTATCCCACACTAAAGCTGCCTTATCATCAAATCAGGTTAACACTTTGATGACAAGAGAAGGCAAACTATACCAGTTTTTGAATTGCTATATTTCTCGGACTGGAAAAATGTTAAAGGCTGGTTTAGAATGCAGTACAAGGTGAGATATACCTATCCCAAAGGTGCTTTTTCAAGAGGCAATTGGACTTCCTTTGTTTTTCTTTGAAGATGTTTCGCTTCTCATTGAAGAAGCATCTTCAGTTCTGAAGAGGTTTTTTTGAATGAGAAGCGAAACATCTTCAAGGAAAAAACAAAGAAAATCCAGTTGCTTCTTGAAAAAACACCTTTGGGACAACCATGACCTGGATGACTCGGAATCTCCATACCTACTGTATGTTGCCTGATTCCCAGCTTGTTTCTGGACACAGTTGAAAAAATAGTTGTTGTTCTTTTGGCCCAGGATATCTTAGTCGTCATTATATCCAATAACAGAATATTTGGGCCATAGAATTCAACGGAAAGACAATTTCTAACTACAGAGTTCCATTGTTATCCTCAGTTGTCAGACAATTTTCCAATGATTGCACATAAACTCTGGATCCCTCAGCCTGAATAAACTAGGCTGAGACTCTATTAATAGGTTCATTTATCTTATTTTCTTAAAGAACTATATTTAAAGCTTCATTTAAGTTGTTGCATTCGCCTGATCTTGATTTAATTATTTGCTCACTTTGTTGTATTTCATTTATTGCAAGTGATCCTTTATTTGATGAATTTTAACTGTTTGAAAATTAATCTTAGTGGTACATGAGCACTAGATTGTAATATAAATAAGTTATTACATAAATAAAAATATGATAATCAGTGGCTTGGATCCACCTTGTCTTTGCCTATGCAAAAGATCCATATTTCAATGTTAAGATCTTATTATTCCCACAAACAATATTACAGAACGAATGCAAGAATTTACAACAAGAAATATTGTTTTACCAGGATTATTCCATTGAAACTAATATACTGCAACATTTGCAGTTAGTCATGAATGTACACCTTGTTCCAGGTGGAGGTATGGCTTTAGCTCTCAGATGATACGTCAGCAGCAGTAGATGTTAAAAAGTAGGAGGGCCATGATAAATAAATAAGATAGAGTTAAATTTGATTTATATAATTAAAATAAAGTTAATGCCATTTATATGATTATTTAATTATTCCCTTTCTATTGCACTGAAATCATGATTGAGAGGCAAATTTTTAGAGGGATTCTGATATGTATATCTATGGTTTAGATAATATTTAAGTATCTCTGGCTGAAATCAATAGAATTGATCAAAATGAAATGTAATGCACTTTTTAGAAAAAATACTAAAACAGAATCACTCTACGATAGCATCATATCTATCATTTTGTTTCTATTTTGTAGCTATTCTATTTTTATAAAATATAGAATATATAATACTATCAAAATCTTTGGTAACAATTATCTCATCATTCTCAAATCCTGCTCAGAATGTAACCATAACAACAATTAACACCAATTAGCAAATCTCCAAATATTTTGTTAAGACTACGGTATGAATATGCATGCATTCATCTTTCCCTTTATATCAACTCTAATGTAATCTAATCAGATTTCTCCAACTGTTGCTTTTTGGATGTGCTTGGGTTAATACATCTTGTAAAATTGCTGAAATATTCTTTTTAATTACATATCTATAATTGTCTCTTTCTTTCTGCCATTGGGATATGTAATCTTAGAGCATGCATCTGAAAAAAAGAATATGCAAGAGCAGAATCTTTATTTCCTATCAGTAATTGATTTTATTGCCTACTTCTTGCAGCAATGATCCTAGCTTACAACTCTGTTTTTGCAATGCTATATGAACCTTTTTTTAAAGCAACTACCTCAGTCAGACTTAATCATACACTCAATTGTCATTATATGTGAAACCATCATTTTGTCAAAATATTAATCAAAAGTGTCCAGATTGCAATATAATTTTATATTGGTATTCCACTGTATAGCTACTTTTGTATTGAGAAATTATAAAAAATGAAGTATTGGCTAAAGGAAGATCACCACTAGGATTAAAATCTCTATATCATAAAAGAAGTGGCCATCACACTGAATTGAGCTTAACAGAAGGAAGTACTTCTTGGCATATTAAGAAAATACTGGATGCATTTTTACTGCCTTTACTGTCTATACCATTTTACAAGCAAATCACAGTAGGGAAATCTCAAAGGAACTAAAATAATCACTGAAATTCAAATGAGCACCAGTACTAACTAAATGGAGTAAAAGGTTCTGCATGCTTTAAACAGTTGGCATATGAAAATGACTGGAATAATGATTGATGCCTTATATCCGCTTATCTGGGAATAAATTTAATTGAATTCATTAAGACCTGAGTCAATGTAGACATGCATGGCATTACATCTTAAGGTAAATATATTTATAAGAAAGATCATGTTGGGGATTCGTATCTCCAGGAGTATCAACTGTTTTAATTAAGGGATCACCTATGGTTTATTGTTTTCCCATTCCACACAATATCACTCAAAGGCAAGACAATTTATATTTCAGAATTGTAATTCTGCCTTTGTCTTGGAACAAACAAACATTCTTCTCTGTTTATTTGTGACATAAATAAAGTTCTGGAGCTCCCATCTCCCGGTAAAGGCAAATTCATTATATGATTGAACAACCCTGAACCAGCATAAACACAGATATGGCCTGCTAGAGTAAGTTTTAAAGGATTATCTAAAAGAGAATTAATCAGAATTTAGTTGGGTTTCTAGTTTTCAAAGTATATGTCTCCGAAGCAAACTCAAGTAAAAATTACTGAGCGCTAACATTAGTTCTTCCCAACAAATATTTAATAATAATGTTTCTTTCCACTTATCTAAAGATAAATTAAGATTTATGAATATTATCAAAATGAATAGACATTGAGCTCTTTTGCCTTTGGATTTATAAACTTTTTGAATAGTTTTTTTTTAAAGATACTTGAAATTGATGGTATAAAGGAAACATACTTACTGTTCAGTTTCCTGCTGGTTATAGAAACAAACGGAAACAAAAATAGGTCTCAGTCAGAGACACAAGAACTGACTTTTGTGTGTTCAACACTGAGTTCATCTGGGCATTTAAAATTCAAGTTTAAATCCTACAAACAGGAAATGTGGTAGTCTAGTGGAGCATTCTATAACAGCCATGAATAAACGCTCAATTATTTTTCTTCATTGACTGAATTCTTTTACTGAATTTAGCATTGCAAGTATGAAAGTAAATATCTTTATTCTTCAACTGAGGTTTATTAAATTTTTCATAGAAAATCCAGAGATATATAACATATTGCATATTGACATACAGTTAGCACTTACTAAATATAGAACTTCTAGATCTTTAAAATTCAGTTTCTTTCATTAAAGTACATTATGAATCTTAACATACCTTTCTTTGGGCAGAAATACTGCAAGACAAGTGCTCAAAGATTTGAAGACTTACTGTGATTTCAGTTTTCCCCAATGGCCTGACCTTCAGGGTTATTAGACTTCAGCTCCCATGATCCCCAGCCAGAAAAAAGATTGCAATTGTTTACTGCAGTAATAAATAATAAAAAGAAAATATTGGATAGATAATTTTATAGGTTATGTGACATTTTAGAGTCAAGTCAATAGATTGCAGCAATATAAACTATAAAGACTCCTTTCACTTTTTCAGTCAGAAAATAACAAAACAACAGGAAAGAAAACAGTGAAGATTTGCTTTCTTCACAGTTATGCACAGTTTCTTATCTAGTTTGTTTCTACATTATCTCTAACTCAGATATAAAGGCAGGTAGGTAGATAGGTAGATAGGTGGGTGGGTGGGGAGGTAGACCAATCTGTCTACTGTAGGTGAACAGACAAAAATATCATAAAGAAATTTGTAGCCTTTCAAGTTTGCCAGAACTTTCAATCACAAAAGAAGGCAGAAAGCAAAGATAATGAAGAAATAGAAGTTTTGTTTAAAAAAATAAAAATAGTTAGCTACACATTTAAAGTCTGTTCTAGCTAACAATATTAATATACTGGAACTTGTTACTACTAATTACAAGAAATATAATTGGCTATTAGATTAATAAGTTAATTGTCATAATAATAATAATAATAATAATAATAATAATAATAATAGAAACAATGGAATATATAACAAAAAAAATACTATGTATAAGAAATTGTATAAAACAAAAATCTTTAGGTATTATCAACAATCCTCAAAACTTTTTAGCACCTACAACAATCAAGTGCAGTGCTGAGAACTTATGATGATATCTTTCATGAACATCTGGCAACAATTATTCTTGCACAGTTTTTGGAGACTATGGACACTGTGCAAAAAAGGGGTAGTTTCCAGACCATCCAGAAGTCATGTGAGAGGACTGTGCTCTCATGTGGCCTCCAGACCTTCAAAAAATAACCTTGATTTACCTGTATTTCATTATTATTATTATTTTATGTTTGTTTATATAATACATGGCAATGGACATGATTGGACTGTATTTTAAAAAATAAGTAAAGAAGTAAAGAAGTAAAGAATTGTTTCTCTTTTGCTCAGGAGGCAGGTGGTGATATGCCAGCAGACTCAAGTTAGGCATTTTCCAAATTTTGACATGCTGACCCCAAAAGGTTTGCCATCACTGTTCTAGTGGCTACTATTTTATAGCAACAAGCACATTCTGTTACTATAGGAAGGATCTGGTATTTTCAGCATTCAAAGGATAAACACATCAGTAAAGAAACTGGCCCTATTTTGATATGAGGGATTGGACAATACCCATTACTTTCTAAATTTTCTTCTATACAACAGCTCAAAAGGATTTAATGCTGTAGTGACCTGTGGCACTTCATTTTATCCAAAGAGTATCCCGAGGCTTTGATTTTCCTGTGCATGCAAGGTTTATATCTCAGTCCATTTTTCTGAGAAAGATAAGGAGAAATTTTAATCTTAGTTATTTTCAAGACTGCTTACAAAGGCTTCAGCAAGGCAGCTGAAAGCTTTGGCCTCATTTGTTAGAAATTCTCTAAATATACCCTACTCTGGTTAAAATAAGATAAGATAACCTTTATTGTCATTTTTTTACTGTGGGCTCACTGGCACAGATTAAAAATGAAATTCTGTTGCCTACTCTGCTTTCCAATGATGAACATTCCCTCACAGTATCTTCTTGTTTCAATCACAGATATATTGGTTCTCTCTAGCTGGCACAAAGACCATTGGAATTATGGTAGCCTTGTCCCATTTCCCCTTGGCTTTCTTATTCCAATACTCTGGTTAGGATTGCAAATGAATTTCCACATCTTGGTCATTCCTAGTCAAAATAATCTGCTTTTTCAGCCTCATTCTTTTCTTTTTATCCCATGCAATGATTTTCATGGATATGTTTCAGTAAGCCAGTCCTGTAATGCTGTAGAACCATGACTAGCATCATTTTTTCTTTAACCTGTGCAGGATTCCCTCTTTTTAAGGGGACAAAATACCCCAGAATACTCTACCCATGATTTTTCATTGTCAGTCACTGCCCTGGGTTTACTTCCATTTTTGTTACAAAGTCCTGCCTCACTGCTTTTTCTTTTCCTGGCTGGTTTCCAGACTAATTAGATCTGGGAAGATAAAATTCCATAGAATGCTTCTCATACTCATCTTTCCCCTGCTCTTGTAATGTTTTGCTTATATTCTTGTAGAGACATCTGGTACTTTTGTTTTTCCTGCTGTGGCTACAGATGAGACTTTCATGAACCAGTTGTCTACAATAATTGCTTCATAGGGATCCTTTTCACAACACCAACTATGATTTCTTGCTTCCATCCTAAGATTTGATTTTAATCCACGGGACTTTTCTAATTTGGTCAAAGATGCAAATGACAGCCTCTAAAGCAGGGGTGTCAAACTGCTGCCCGCAGGCCAGATGCATCATAGCGAAACTGAGCCCACCCCATTGCCTGCAATGGCAAAAAAGTCATGATACATCACGACACATCACGTGACGTTGCAAGTTTGACACCCCTGCTCTAAACTCTGTATGTCGATAGATGTGGTCTTACTAGAACTCCCACTGCAAGAGTCCAAGATCTGTCCTACCCATTGACTTCTTTCTGTACCATGTCCCCTTTCTAGGAAATGAGACAAAAGTGACTTATTTTGCAAAGCACAGTTAAATTAAGTGTTACTAAACACTATATTTAAATCAGATCTTAATGAACATGTAACTCAATAAAATTTTAACTGAGACTGTACAAGTCACAGCTGAAATGCATGGGTTCTACAGAATGACAATTTCCACCACCTCATTGCACTGACTTATTATGATTTTAGTCAGAATTTATTGAAGCTCAATGGACAGATTCATGTAACATGCTAATCCCAAACCCAGAAAACTAAAGGGATTTTTTTATTACTCATATGAATATAATCAGTCAGAAATATATTTCTTTTTATTATGTCATTTTTATATTATTTTATTCCAAAAGATTCTGAATATAATTTTGAATCAAATGTGATAAAGGTCTACCATAAAACAAGACAAAAAAACCCAAATGAAAGTGTAACCAAAAAATTAAGAACTATCTGGTACATGTAATTTTCCTTAGCTTAGAGGTATATTAGCTTGAGATGATTTACCTTGAAGAGATTTATCACATCTAGTCTGGGTGTGGTCAGCCAGAACTGGCAGATCTATCTAACAGAAAATGTCTTCTGAGCATGAGTAACATATTCCCTAACTGCTGTTAGGGTATAAATCAAGTGGCATGGCTAGACCAGCTGCCAGTCAAAACCTGAGCTTCCTGGATCCCCTTTGAAAGAGCACTCCAATCAAATCTCTCTTGAAGAGAAATGCACCTTTGAAGATATGCATAGCATATTATACATGCCATTTACATTTATGTTACCAGACTGCTCAGTTTTCAATAAGTGTCATCTGTATATTAAAACTATAGAGCTATTTGCAGTTTTAATAATATTTAAATTCATGATGCATATTGCATGGGAAAATGTGATATCCTGATCATGCTCTATCTTTGTATAATTCTACTTCAGGAAGCATGACAGTCAAGGCTGATTGATTTCAGTCAGGGGCTTTGTCTCAAAGGAAGTAATTGCTGATGCAAGCTTAGATACCACATTCTTCAAATGAAGAGAAAGATCATGACTACACTGTTACTATGGTAACGCTGGGCTTCACTGTTATGTCCCGAGCCTTTGCAAACGGCTCGGGCGTTTGCAGGCAGTCCCGGGCAGGTGCAAAGCTGCCCGGGACCAGACAGGCTGTCGCCAGCGCCGTGCACATGCGCGGGTGCTGGCGCAGGAAAAGTAACCCATTTACCCGGGAGTTGCCTATATAAGAGGCTGCGAGGCGTTTGGGCGAGGCTGAAGCCATCTTCCTGTAAGCTGAACGCTGAATAAATGAAACTGAGAACTCCAGCTGCTTCTCGTGTCTGTTTTCCCGCCACGGACTCAACACTGGCGACGAAGGTGGGATGCCTTGCACTACCTGGAAAGGAAGAAGTGTAAGCTTACCCAAGGAGTCCTGAGCGGCGAAAGAGGAACGGCGTCGACTCGGCAGCTGCCCGCCAATCCGGTGCGCATTCGGGGGTAGGCTGGCTGATAGACCCGTCTCCTGAAGATCCGAAGATGGCAAAAATCGGAAGGCTTTCGGAATTCGACGTCTCACATCCAGAGCGGTGGGAGTCCTACGTATCCAGAATGGAGAACTACTTCAAGGCAAACCAAGTGAGGAAGATAGCTTGAAGGCGGCCACCCTGCTTTGCGTTTGCGGCCAAGACGCCTTCGAAATCGCAGAAAACCTTGCAGCACCTGTCCCAGTAGAGTCTGGAAGCTACGCAGACCTGAAGAAGCTGCTGAAGGAGCACTTCCACCCCAAGGTGTCCGTTATCTCATGGCGCCACACCTTCGAACAGAGGGATCAACGGTCCGGTGAGTCAGCCAAGGAATACATTGCCGCGTTACGGAAGGCCGCCAAGCCCTGCGAGTTCAAGGACCTCGAGGACCGACTGAGGGACCGATTCGTGTGCGGGTTAAGGCGAGCTACAACAGAGACTTTTCGCAAAGGAAGAATTATCCTTCCAAGACGCCTTA